TGATCGCCAGCGCCGAAGAAGAGGGTGCGACCATCCTCCTCGACGGCAGAGGCTACAAGCCTGAGAAGTACCCCAACGGCAACTTTGTAAGCCCCACCCCCATCTATCTAACTGTAATCTTTCTTTAACTAACACGAACCCCACAGGTCGGCCCCACCATCATCACCAACGTAACCCCCGAAATGAAGTGCTACAAGGAAGAAATCTTCGGCCCCGTCCTCGTCTGCCTGTCCGTGCCCACACTAGACGATGCCATCGAGCTCATCAACAAGAACGAGTACGGAAACGGAGCTGCCATCTTCACCCGCTCCGGATCTACTGCCTCCCGCTTCCAGAAGGACATCGAGGCCGGCCAGGTTGGCGTGAATGTGCCCATCCCTGTGCCGTTGCCCATGTTCTCTTTCACCGGTAACAAGAAGAGTATTGCCGGTGGTGGTGCTAACACTTTCTATGGTAAGCCCGGGTTGCAGTTCTATACCCAGCAGAAGACGGTGACTAGTTTGTGGAGGAGTGAGGATGCTGTTAGCACTAAGGCTCATACCGTTATGCCTACTCATTCATAGGGGGTTTGTTTGTCGGTTGGTTGGACTGGGATTTATGATATTTAGGTTGCATCGGACATGATCGTTTTCTATTATAAAATACCATTCAGTTTATGATTTCGGGTTCCTGGCTGTATGGCATCGTTTTAGTCAATCGCATACTCCAATTCGTCTCTGCGTTCATCTGCTTATACTATCCTCGTGTGGATGTGGTCGATATTTTAACCGAAACGTGCTGTCTGCATGTGATCTAATATGGTCTTCTACGCGTTGTGCTACTATTCCAGTTTGGATGATTTACGAAATATATTGGGATATTGAAACATAATGATACTTTATTGTGTGGGGCATCTCTAGTCAGAACTAGTGCGGACAGTATGTCTGCAGTCACAGCTTGCAATGGAGCACCGCCTCTAGGGGTTTAGTGTTAGGGCAGTTCATACCCTGTCTGCCATGCATTCTTTTAATAAGACATGACAGCTTCCGAACAAGAGCATCTCACGTAGGATGCCTCTACTCAGTCCGTGGCTTTACGAAGCTGTAGACCAGCCGGGCCAGCTTGTAGGTTTTGCCCTTGACGACAGCAACACGGCGAGTGTAATAGCGCTTGCCGTCAATGATCTCGAAACCCCAGACCTATTTATCTTGCATCAGAAAATGTCAAAGGACGGAAATCATGAAGAAAAAACGAACCTGCTCGGCAGTCCAGCCGCTGTCCAGGTTCTCCACGAAGCTGAGATACCAGAGCCCCTCTCCCTCGCCAAACTCTTCACCGATTTCCTCAACAACAAAGCCCTCGGATGCACTTCCGTCGGCTAGAATCTCCCCTCTAAGGAATTTGTAGACCTGGGGATCGTCGATCTTGGTCTCAAATTCTGTATAAGGGCGCACCTTTCCGTCCTCGCCCTTGGATCCCCGGAAAAACCGCGACTGACCTTTGAGATGGCCAAAGATATGGTCGTCGTGCTCTCGTACCTTGTTGTCACTGATGCGTCTCTCGGTTGTACCTTTGATGCCACCAGTGACCGTCTGGTCGATGTCGATGTGCCATAAAGACGGATCTGCGGCATCGGGATACTCATGGATGGAGAGAGTAACTGTTGCGACACTGAGAGCCTTACGCATGAGCCAGCTCATTCCTTGCTATTCCATCCACGGCAGTATGTAAGCAAGAGAGGTATTGCCTTGAATTGTATACATGATTGACTTGTAGAGCCCACAAGGGTGGGGTGTGAGACTTACCAGCTCGAGAATGGGCTCTGAAGGGTTGGAGAGGGTTTTGTCCTAGGATCAGTAATGTCAGTATATATCTTAAGAAATTGAGGAAAGGTATCAGTGTACCATTGTCCACTCTCCATTGAGGGTCTTGAGGTTGCTGTCTGCGGGGGCAGCCATGGTGATGGTACGATGAGGGGTGATAGTGATAAGATACGGAAATTGAAAGTAGGCGGGTCACAGGTAAGAATGAGTGATGGGGATAATGATCAGGACGACAATTGGTCTAATTGACAGTGGTCGTACGAGAATGAGCTGGGGGGAGTGGAAGAGGAACTTTAATGGACGTGGACGGAGCAGCGCTGACAATCCGACTACTTATATGCTGCAGGAGTAACTACTAGATGGGGGCTTCATGTGATGGGCTCCTTCCATTTCTATCGCCGGACTGTGACTTCCGCCGAGGCATCTGACACGTGCCACCGCCTATTTCAGGTTGATTTGGCGACTGGCATTCTTGAGTAGTACTAGTAGTACTACTAATGGTTCGCCGTGGTAGACGTTGCTCCAGTCTGGTACAGATGGTGTGATGGATCAACCCTTCGGTTGCGGACTATTTATTTCCAAGCTGTAAATAATGGCCCGGAGTATTTGTTGACCGACTGGCATATCCCAGTAATTACTACATGTAGTAACCTCCTTCTAAAATAATAACATTATACTCAGATTAGCTACTAGTTGTACCCATACTATATCGCCATAAAAATCAAATCCAGCAATAATGTCTTTGTTCATGACAGGTAAACACACTGAAACACTCATAGTCAGGTACCCGTCTTTTTGAATACCACCATTCATGCCTCAGGCCACCAATGATGATGCCCCTTTCACGTGCCCGCCCGCGGAGGAGCCCCAAATCCACCCAGCATCAACTCTCTAAGTTCCACCTGCTGTGCTTCTGTAAATAAACCCTGCCTGTCCTTGTCTCCAGTCGGCCATTATCTTGCTATTAGAAAAGCAATTGGCCATGTCCTTCAATAGGAAGTATGCTGGTCTTCCCGACCTGGTACGTTACGCCCATCATTCCTCCCTCCTACCCCATCTCTATCAACCCGTCTACTAACATCGTTTGTTTGGGCCAGGATCTCGCTCCCGATATCTACGAGACCCCCGATCTGACCGACGAAGCATCCACCGTTCCGGTTAGCTACCCCGCCTGACGCCTGAGCTGGCCTTTGCAAAAGTATCCAACTGCTCATCCTTCATACTATATACCATAGACTACAACTATCCGCACCGCATCCAATGCAGACGACGATGCCGGCTCCAACTCCGACATCGACCGCCAGGGAATTAACGCAGATGAAGCACGCGCCCACTTCCTAGGAGCCACAGTCGACGCGCGCGATGTCAACTTCTCCGACAGCATCGCGATGAAGCGAAAGGCATACAAGAACAAGAACCGTCGCCGGCGCAGGAACGAGAACGGTCTAGAAGAGCCCGAAGACATCAGCGACAGCGAAGATGAAAGCCTCGAGAGGAAGCTCGCCCGGCTCCGCAGGGAAGTAGAAGAACTCAAAGACGAGATGGCCGCTCGACAGACCGAAACCGAACCAGAAGCCGCAGAAGGAAAAGAGCCCACGGACGACGGAGTCCTCGAATTGAGCCGCGCACTGGACAACCTCTATACCTCCCGAACCGACAACACAGGATCACACTCCGCAGCTACACTTCTAGCACAAAAGATCGCAACCAAATCCACATTCCAAACCGCTGCACCTAGCACTCAGAACGCAGACGCCACACAACAACCCGAACCAACAGCCCCCGCATCCTCCGGCGTCCTCGCCCACGCCGCAGCATTCGACGGCCGTCTCGCCCTCATCGAAGCCGCCATGGGCATCTCCAGCTCCTCCAACCCCTTCGTCAGCGACGGAATCTCCGAACCCGCGCTCCAACCCGTCCTCCCAGCCGTCGACCACCTCACATCCCGCCTCACCACCCTTATGAACATCCTCGTCGGCCCGAACCCCGTCTCCGCCGTGCCAACCATGGGCTCCGCACCCCCCTCCACAACCGTCACCACCCCGCATCTCGAGACCCTCTCCACTCGCGTGCGCAAACTCACCGCAGACACAGAAGCCCTTGCCTCCGCGCGCAAACGCGCCGTGGACGCCGCCAAGGCAGCTCAGAACGCGCGCATCGCATCCGCCGCTATTGAGCCCTCGGACATGTCCGTCTCGTCATCCTCCGCTACGGAGGTCGACCCGGCTGCTACCCAGCGCGATGAACAAGCTACCAAGATCCAGGCCCTCTACGCCACCCTCCCCACCATCCAATCCCTCCACCCCATCCTCCCAAGCGTGCTAGAGCGTCTCCGCTCCCTTCGCGCTATCCACGCCGGTGCAGCGCAGGCCTCCGAGTCACTCGATACACTGGAGAAGCGACAGGCAGACATGGCAAGAGAGATCGAGCAGTGGCGCGAGGGTCTGGAGGTAGTCGAGGAGAAGATGGGACAGGGCGAAGCAGCAATGAAGAGTAATATCGAGCTTGTGGAACCTTGGGTCCGGGGTTTGGAGGCGAGGTTGGATCGTTTGGAGGGGCAAGGCGCATGATTGGGGAAGATTGTGAAATAGTATGAACATATAACTACTAAGTTTCTTGTAACTGTAGCTGGTCGATAGTAGTACTGGGTACTCATATACCAATTTTTGTTTAAGCGGACTACAATTACCGTTAGTACCAATCATTTACACTCAATAGCGTATTCCAGAATGGGAACCTAAAGGACTCAACGCGGGTCCGATTTCAAGTAGATAAGTCTTCTATTTGGTGTTTTTTACGGCTTAATAACGCAGGCGGTCTCTACTGAGCCCGTGACGAATGATTTGTCTTATCACAACGAGATAAGGTATGATATATTAGTATACAGTAGTAGCAATTTCATACTCTGATACAGAGCTTGAAACGTACATAGAAACTACTTTTAGCCACTGATAGTTACTGGATTCGCGCAATGGATATGTTCATAGTTGTAACTATAAGCGAAGCGAGATCTTGAAGAATTATGAAATCTATAATACGAAAGCGATACTCGCTATATGACTGTACCCAGGTCGCGCTTTTTGGGGGTAGTATAACATAGCCACCGTTTTCATATTAGTACCTATAGAAGATGGGAATATGCTCGGTAGGAAAATACTATATGGAAGCAATCTTAAACTATAGTATGATATAATCACATTACCGGAAATCCCAATCACCCTGGGGATCCCATTTCGCTTTCAAGCAATTCAACCACTCCACAACCGGGACTTCTCGACCCCCAACCAGATACCCATCATCTGCAACAGTAGCATCCATAAGAACTCTGCGCCGGAATGCGCGAACATGGGCCTTCGCATCCCAGGGTGGAATCCGCACATAATCATGCTCAATGTGGCAGAGAGACATTTTGAGCGCCCCGTGTCGGAAGCGATGGAAACACGACTCACATAGGGCAAAATCATAGCAGAACTTGCAGGCATACATGCTTTTGCTCGTGTCTAGGACGCATTCACACGCATCACACAAATATTTATAGTTAGCATCGCTTAGTGCTCTAGCATATCGGTTCATGGATTCAAGTAGTGCCTCATAAGACTCCATTTTGGCTGCGTCATCATCACTCCAGGGGGTCTCGTTCATCAACTTGTTTCGGCTCCGCCGTAAGAATTGCACAAGTTCTGCAACCTTGTACCAAACGCTTATCGGTTTGTTGCAGTTTTCTTGGAAGAACTCTATGAGCTCTGTAGCTTCCGGTGTCGTTGGTTTCTCATCAGACCGTAGCCACTCTTCCAAAATCTCGACATCTAGGACATGACGAGCTATAAGCGAATAGGCATTAAGGACATTGACTCGGTCACCGGGATGCAGAAATGTTAGAAACAGAAGGTTAAACCCGTACATGTCATTACCGGTTGTGTCATCAGATAGTAACCCAAATGCCTCTCTGATGTTTGCCTGGAAGAGCGCTTCGGCATCCGCTTGTTTTCCACGCCGGATGAAGTCTGCCGCCAGGTATGTCTTCGCAGCAGACATGCCATGAACAATACCCCTTTGGTTCTGGTATACTTCCTCCAATTTTAGAGAATATGTCTCAGCGTTACCAGGGTCATTCAATGTCTGTGTGAAGTTATAACAGCCCAACTGCCGCCCAACTCTGTCCAGTAGAATGGCACCAGCAGACTGGTATTTAAGTTTCTCCATAATGATTTCAGCGCATTCTGTCCACGCTTTGACCGCCTGATCAGCATGTGAAGGGTCATCTGAATAGCATGCAAATGCCCTCCCTTTATGCAAAAGCAAGGTGGCCCATGTTTTGACCCGGTTCTGTGCCTTGGCATTCTCGATTGCTGTCTGCATGTTTCCCAGTAAGGAAGCGAAGTTATCGGCAGAGGAGGAGCATATAGAGCTAATGGTATAGGGCAGGTTCATCATCTGAGTGTCGTCGTAATCACTATCTTCGATGGCCATCTGGATCACTAAACCTAGATGCCCCGTGGGCCCTGAAGCCGTTCTGAGCTTCAGTGTGTCGAGAACCAGGTCGCTCAGCTCCTCTCTGCAGTCGCGAGACCACGAACTCTTGATCAGTGCATATCTGGCGTTGACATTGCTGGCGCTCAGACTCAGGGCTTGCTTGAGGTATTGCAAAGCTTGGTCCTTGTCCCCAGCCAGTGACGCTAGACGAACCAAGACATTTCCTTGTCGTTCCTGGTCAATGCCCCCCATCCGCTCCAGTAGCTTACTGGCCTTTAGGTTTGAAAATGTTAGCTGCCTTTCAATGACGGAGGCAGGAACACCTTTGAAAAAACTTACTTCCTGATATTTCTTAAAAGCTTTCTTATGACTATCGGCATACTCATATGTTTCGGCTAGCCGTTGTACCCAAACATCTTGTTCGCGCATGCGGCTTGGTCCCAGTACCCTCTCGCACCATTTCTCAGCCTTTGTAACGTCATCGTCTTTGATGCTATCGTCGGATCTGACACTATGGTCATCCTCTTCGGAGCTAAAGTCTGAGTTTTGGCTTGTGTAATCGATTTCTGCATCCTACTACAAGTCAGCTCAAGTCTGAAATCATCTCAAAAGAGAAATGTCACCACACACCATATTGAGAAAAGCCCTGAGCCATTCGAAAGACGCCGTGGTGGAACTGGGCAATCGGTCCTGAAGCCATTTGTGACCAGCCAACCTCGCTAGTGGCTCAAAGAGCTTCTGGTTCCGTTTCGGGTCATTCCAAACCTCTCTGATCTTGTCCCAAATGATCGGGTGTTTGATTGCAGCGTCGTCCGACAGCCATTTCCAGAATGAATCTATGGTATCTGAGGACGTGTGCCACCTTGTCTGTTGCAGAACATCCCAATGCCTTTCAAGGCTTATTGGGCTTAGAAATAGTTCTTGGACATTTTCACCTATGGTTCGTCGATCGGTATCCTTGAGTTGTTCAAGCTGAGAGGGTTCCTGCAGGTCTGCTAAATGAGCCGGAAGTTCTCTCAGTAAAATTCCCCCAATTGGCCTCGAAAGAGGATCTGGTGCTTTTCTGAGAAATTCGAAGGTGCGTTTCACGATTACCAAATGCGCGTTCAGTTCCGTGACTCGAGTGCGATGAGTTGAAGGCTTCGCCATGTCCATCTGGTAAGCATCAAAGTTAAACCGATTCATCACTGAATGATTGGCCAGATCCCAAAAGAACCGCTGGGCTACTTCGATGCTTGTGTTTTGGAGGGATATTGTAGCCGAAATGGCTGATTGCTGGTCCTTGTTCTGATCCAGGATTACCCATTGCCTCATCTCGTCGCGAAGTCGAACTCCATCATCTCTCTCCTCCAAGATCAAAGAAAACCTATCCCGTATTTTCTTTCGTAGAGAACTTAACGGCGGTAAATTCGAGCGAATGAACTTTTGTTCCCACTATCGATTAGCCCAATTTCTGATTTCCTCAGGCAACAACAGCTCTAGGTTGTTGTTTGGGTTGTTCGAAAGGTTCTGGAGAAAGATACATACCAGAAAGGCTTCGAGCTGGTCAATGTCGAGAATAACATCCTTGGACATGCTGAATTCGCACCAAATAATCAACTCATTCAGTTCCGCGATCTCCTTCCAGTCAAGTATTCTTTCAAGATCTTGCAGCTCAGATTTGGCAAGGTCCGACCCTCCCCGGCTCAGCGCATTGAGAAAGCGAGTGAGCTCATCTCTGCTATTTGATTGAACCAAGTTTTCGATCCTGTCGAGCCATTTCTGCACTTTGTGGAAGCTACCACGGGTGTTCTTCGTTACTGCCTCGCATATCGACTTTCTAACTTCAGCAAAGTCCAGAAAGTCTTCCTGCAGTAGATCCTTCTTTTCCAAGAATTTTCCAATGTACTCAGCAATCACTCTGTCATTATAGTCTTCCATCTTTGCAGAACGCAGACAATCTTTCCGCTTCGAGTATTCGCGTAACAGTCTCCTTGGCCCGGTGACACAAACACGCAAGGTTTTCCTTTTAGAGGGGATTTGGTTGTTGATGAGATCGTTCATGAATTGCTTACGCTCCCACTCTGCCAGGTTATCCAGGCCATCCAGAATAAGATAACAAATCATCTTATCTGGAGCCTGCCAAATATTCAGGGCGTCCAGTAGGCCCTTATAGCCAGTCCCCTGGGCCCTTCCTTCCTCGGTATTTAGAAAATGCAGCAAGCGTCGTCGGTAGTCTGGATTTTGCTCTGCCAATTGTAGTCCTGTGGCTCTGACACAGTCCTCCAGCGGTTGCTGGTGGTATTTGCGACTTTTTGGCATCGAGGGAAAGGAATAATAAGCGGCGAATATTTCTTTCTCCTTGATGTCCAAGAACATTGAGGCTGACAAGACACTCTTTCCTGTTCCTGCTTCCCCAGTGATCAAAAGCAATGGTGGTACATCTTCATCCTTGTTGAGCGCCCAGTTCATATAAGACTTCGACTCGAGGAACTGGCATGTCTTGTCTTTCGCCATGCGAAGGGTCTCCGTATAGACACGATGACCCACTAATACCCCATCCTCCGAAGTTATACGCAGATCTTTTTTGATTCTACTCAGATCATCCTGGCGGGCAACTTCATCAGAGCGCTTGTTGACGTACTCGGAAATTCCATCGATTTTACCATCCACGATGTCGATCTTGTCGCTCGAATTTAGAATTTCCTTCATTATGACCATCTGCTGAACATATTCTTTCTGCTCGGAAAGGGCTTTCAGCTTATCAAGACCTTCTCTGATGGGGTTTTGGTTTGACAAAATCCATTTTCCTTCTTTGAAGTATTGGTAAGCCTTGCCCTTCTCGAGAAGCTTCACACACTGAGCACAGAGCGTTATAAAGGCCATCATGACATTGCAAACCGAGATCATCAGGACCGAGCCAATGGCTGTACCCATGTCATCATATACACTTAATTCCGTGAAGCGTGGCTCAACTTCCTCGATGACAGCCCGGATGGACTCATGAATGCCATGAACCTTTAATGGGATTTCCAGGATATACGACAAAGCACTAACACAAGCGCTTGCAGGTGAGAATGCCTAAAACTTGATCTTAGCTTCATGACCGCGCAGATATAAACCGCTCTTCCCGAGCGAATATCTTGATGCTTTTTTGTTTCTTTTGTTCTTTGTCTTACTAACGAGATACTTACTCCATCGGTAACAGTCTTTATGGGTCCTGTCCATGTCTGAACAACAGACACGATCGTAAGAAACCTTTGCCTCGTTGCTCTGGACGCATCGTCCTCTCCTTTCACACCCGATGAGATTCTCGCCTTGAGTTCTTCAAAGCTTCGAGGGTCTTCGAATCTTCTGGACTCAAGCCTTTTTTTGGTGATTTTCTCAAATTGAGCACATGTTTCTTTCAACAGTCGTTGAATTGAACTAAGTCTCTCTTTGGTGTCTTGCCTTGACTCGATCTCCATCTTGTCGGCAGTCCTGTAGAACTCTACTCTTTCTTTCTCAATTTTCGATGATTTTGCTATCCAGGATTGGAAAACACGTTTCTTGATAATTGAAATATCAAGTTTAGTTATGTTTTGATCTGTTAGACTTGGGGACGTTTGAGTAATTTTTATAACTCACTTATGTTTGCTTTTCCTCAGCTCTTCCCTAACCCCACCCAAGGCTGCAGGTGGGGTTAATGTGAAGCTGAAGTTGTAAATGTCATGACTCGTTTATTCCCCTTCTTCTCCGTCTTCTTTTGTTTCCTTTTTTCTTCACGGCCCAGTCAAACACAAAAATACTACTCTTTGTCTCTGTGAGTTTCTGTTCCCAGTTCGACATGAATATGATATTTATCTATCACTGCAGTTACTTTATTGCGCTCGAGCTAGAACGAGAGGGAATAGATAGGTAGGGCATCATTCGCGTTTTCGCAAAGCCAAGATGGCGAGCTGAGAGAGTGGACCCAACAGATGCAGACAACTGTCAGCTGTAAGCTCTGTTCGGGGCGCTATGCCAGATCATCCCAGCTACTACTTATTTAGAGGTTAGAATATTAGTTATACATACGAGCTTGAATGCTACTACTACTACTACTACTACTACTACTACTACTACTACTACTACAACTCCAGAATTCCAACAAGGGTATCTCTGTGTTCTTACGAAACCTAAATAATCTATCAACTCATACTTCCACCCCTCTCCTCAATATCTTAATTTTCGGCTCCATCCTCACCTCAACCCACCACCCCTTCGTAATCACATCCCTCACAAACGCTCTGCCCTTCTCGAACAACCTCACCCCTTCATCCCCCAACACATACGCAATCACCTTCTCCTCCACAGCGCCGACGGCCTCATCACCCGGCCGAACGATCCTTAGCCCTGCAAATCCATCAACGGTGTCGACGACTTCCCAGGACCCGAGGATCTTCTCGGACTCTTCACTTGGTTCAACGAGGACGTAGTCGAATTTTGACCAGAAGGTCGGGGATGACTTGGTGGTTTCGTCTTCGGTCTTGTCGTAGTGCCAGGAGGGTGTGGTTGATTCTGAAGGAGAGGAGGGGTGTTGGAGGAAGCGGGTGACGCCTGTTTGGCAGGCGAGGTTGCCTAGGTAGACGGAGATGGTGTCGGGGGATGAGTTGGTAGTGGTATTCTCGGCATAAGCGTGGAGGGTATTCAGGGCGTGAGCACCGGGGTAGTTTGCTGACGAGGCGGGGAGGAGAACAAATGTGGAGAGGAGAAAGGAGGCAAAGGTGGACACGAGCATGCCCAGGGAGAGAAGACGGTAGAGGAGGGATTTAGTTCGATGGGTCCAGATGTATGATGCGCCGAGAGACGCGGCGGCAGTGAGCGCGGGGATTGTGTAGATGATGAAGCGCCATTCCTTGTGAGGTTGGGCGCTGTAGATGGCGAGGAAGAACAGGGAAGGAATGAGGGTGTTAGCTGCGAGGCCGCGGGTGGAGGGTTGGAAGAGGGCGAAGGGGATGCCCACGATGTAGGTGAGAGGGTTGAGGAGGAGACGGGGAACGGCGTTGGTGAAGTAGAAGTGCCAGGGGTGGGTGCCCCAGGCGGAGGCTTGGCCGGAGATGACGTTGAATTTAAAAGCTGCGAGTTCAGGCCAGAGGGGGAATTGTTGCCAGAAGAAGGAGTCCACGAGAACGGTGGAGGTGAGGCCGACGAGTAGGCCGAGGATGCCGGCGGGGATGATCTCTCGCTGGATGGTTATGCGACGGGTCGCGAAGAGAAAGAGGGTGTTGGTTGCGAGGAAGATGGCCAGTTCGGAGCGGAAGATGATGCCGGCGACGGTCATGAGGTAGAGGGAGAGGCGAGCTCGCTTCCTGTATACTGTCGGACTCACGGGCTCTAGGAGGACATATCGCAGGGCCAGGGTGGTGAGGCCAAAGGCGAACATGTTGGACAGGGTCCGCGATGCGTAGTAGAAGATGTGGAATTGGCTGGCTTGAAAGAGTAGATACCAGATTGCGGTGGTCTTGCCGGCAGTGCGGCGCAAACCAGAAGCAAACGCCAGTATTGAGGCAGCATTGAAAAGACCCAGAATGGCGCGTGCTGGAAGTAAATCACCATCGTTAGCGCTATTGCTCGAACCATTAGGAAGAAGCACATACCGAGGAATTGTCTGTCAATGTTGGCCTTCAACCAGATAAATGGTTGCGACAGGCCGGACAGCATCACGGCGCCAACGAACGTCCTGGGGACGGCGCCAGGGAAGGCAAAGTGATCATATTCAGCGCGCAGCGTATCGGAGACATTGCGAGTTGGGATTCCCGAGGACAGTATATCATGAATAGCCTGGATGTGGAACGACTCCTCTACCTTAGTGTAGGGAGCTGCGGCGAGATGGAGGAGAACAAGGGCCGGAATTGCGGCGAGGAGCAGCAGGAAGACTAGAGAGGAGATCAGTATACTCTGCAATGTTGAGAACTATAATTGACTACCTACCGACATCTCTCCCCATGATGACACCATAGGTACTTTCTTAGTATGTCTAGAATACCCCTAACAAAAAAACAAGAAAGAAGAGTATATCCAAAAGGACAACAACATCCCAGCGGGTAAAATTACGTATGCCGCGATACTGCCGCCGCGGCTTCTCCGCCTCTCCTCCGCCATCTCCATTCAGTATCTCCGTTTCACCACCATCATTCGAGAACCACATCAATTTGACGTCCTTTTCCCTCCCCCCAACCGCCCAAGATGTTCTTCTTCGGTCTTGGGAAGCTCGTCTACGGTAGGCACATCCCATTCCACCCCCATATGGCCCCGAATTCACCCTCCAGAACACAACACAACAAGCAACTAACCCAATCGCATAATCACAGTCATCATCCTCCTCATCAACTCCCTCGCTGTCCTCTCCGAAGACCGCTTCCTAGCCAGAAGTACGCCATCCCCCCTCACCTGCCACAAAATTGAATGAATGAATGAGTAACTCATGGAATGATGAAAAACAGTCGGATGGGGCCGCACACAAAACGACCCAGCCTTCGGCGCAACCTACGATACCACCAGCGTCAAAGCGAAGACCATTAATCTGATTGCGAGTGTGAGGACAGTTATGCGAAGTATGTTCAACGAACCCCACTTTCGCTTATTGCATACCTACTAGTCATGCGATGTGTGGGAAACAATGGAAAGAAGAGAGACACAAGCTAACGGACTGCGGGGAATTGTTTTTAGTACCGCTTATTGTGATCAATACGATAATCATCGTGTACGAGCTTATTCTGGGTTAGAGTGGGATTGAAAGCTGAACTGGGGATAATATGAATGAGGATTGGGGAGTTGTGATATAAATGCATACATATATGATTACTACTACTGCTGCTGGGATTCTTGCTCTGGTTTTGGGGGGTTTAAAGAGGATGTGTCTGTATTCCAACCTTTGCCTTCTTCTTTCTTCTTGTTATGTTTACTGTATGATTGAAATTGGATTGAACAGAACAGGGATGAGTGCTGTCCTACTGTAATCGTATGGAGATGTGCACATGCTGTAATGATCCTAATGCTAAGAGTGAGACGCATGTATATGTCTACTCTGTGCTCGAATCCGAGGTGGGTATTGGCTGATATGATAATGAACACTTCTGTTTCAATGTTGATAGTCTTGTTACTATCTAATGCGTGTACTCGCATCGGTCTATATACCACGCAATGTTGATACATATGGTCTATCCCACGAGCCCGAAGGATGAAATGCTCAACATGACCAGACAAGATGTGACAAGTCCAGATCTCAACTTCACTCTCTTCCTACACAAAGAATCGCGCTCCCTCTTTCGCTCCTGGCATCGATGGAAAATGCCCTTCGCATTCCTTGAACCCATTGCGAACCCCATTTCTCCGTAACCCATTTTTGAATGGTAGTAAAATCGACAACGTGTGATAACTTGTAAAATCCAAAATCCGGGAAAAAAAAAACATCATTCGCCGAACGCCTCACTTGCCCAGCTGTGTGACCCAGGCACGGGTATCACATGATCAAATAGCAGTCAAAGAAGATATATAGCAATAACAAGTGAAGCAATGGTTGGCTAAAACAACATGCAGAAGCAAAGTTCGAAGACATCACAATGCAGGCAAGAGCCAAATAGTGAGTAAAAAAGTAAGACAGGGACCGGACCCATTTCAAACCTTGCATCCACTGGCAACATGCCCGCACCCTGAGCAATATCGCCATATGAAGGAGCCGGTAGTGAAGAGAAGTGTGATGATACATCAAGAAAGTATGTACGAAAAGTCCACGTTTGTTATGTGCAAAGAACGAACAAAGATGCATGCTTGGTGCAATCGGCGAATGACGGGCCTTATGAAAGGATGCTGAACGACTTCTTCCGGATGCTGAAACTCCGCCATTTCCCATGCCCTGCCCGGTCGCCCTTGGGGCTCTTGAGAGCGTCTGGCTCGTCGTCTTGGCCCAGTGGCTTATGAACGATGTGCGACTCCTTCGGTGGGGAGGTCTTCCGCGGTGAGAGCGGCTGGACGGGCTCCAATGGCGGCTGGCGTGGTGTCAAAGGCTCGGCACTAGGAACTGATGGTAGGCCAGAAGACGACGAAGCACGGCTTTCTTTGTCTTTGCCCAAGCGCTGACTGAAACTCTTGCTGCCCCGTTTCAACCGGCTAAGACCATTGCTGGTTTTCTTCGGATCGCCGTCCTTCCCGTTCTCCGTAGGATTGCGTCGATCCTCATCTGCTTTCGACGCTTTGCTGGCCTCCAGGGCAGCCTTTAGTTCAGCTTCCTCGCGTCGCTGATTTTCCTTAACCCTCGCTTCTTGTTCTTTCCGGCGCTGCTTCTCCAACTCCTTTTCAGCTGCTTTGCGCTCCTTTTCTTCTTTAGCCCGCTCCTTCTTGGATTGGATGTCACTCTTCTTAGGGCTCAAAGGCCGATTGACAGTTTCAGGTATTGGCGGAACCGGAGGTGGAGTTGCTACCGCGGGACTTGACGGCTCAATGTCTGGACCAGTATATTCGGTATGTGTGGGTAGCTGAGGTGCGGTGGGGGCTCGTCGGAGGCCCGTGTGTCGTTGGGGCTCGTCTGGCACAGGGATCTGCGAGGCACTATGAACATGTGCCAATCCCGAGGGGTGGGGGAAGCCGTTCGGTTTCACAGCAGCTTCATTCGCATCAGCCGCACTGGCATTCATGTTCTCCATCTCTTGCTCCTTCAAAACAGCCTCCAATGTAGTCTCCTGGTAGAATAGGACGTAGGCACATGCTAAGCCAGGCTTATCACCAAAGAAGTTGCGCACGTAGTTCTTGTCAACAGGCTCCACCATTTCGTCATCAAAGAGCAGCCATCCGCGATCCTGCGTCTTGATAATGGACACATAATGCCCGTGGTAAGGACCGCCCCCAATGTGGACCACCACGGCGTATAACTCGTATAGGCGATCAGGATCCTCCGCATCGTCTGTTGTGTTAAAAAGACGAAGATGGTAAGGGTACACGACCCGATGAAAGAGCTTCTGCAGTCGCTGGAGATCCTCGGTATATTTAAATCGCTTGAGGTGCAGAGCCAGAATTCGCGGGAGGCGCTTGATTTTCATCCTTTTCTCAGCCTCCTGGAGCCCACCGCAGTTATCGCAGTGAAACTTGTTTCGCTCGCAGAGCATCTCTTCTGCTGAGAATTTCCTCAGGCATGAAGTGACCGACGAGTGCTGCTCCAGATCTACCGACAAATCTAGGAAAATCTCATCGCGCTGGGAAACATTCTCGCAGGTCAAGCACTGTGTCTCTGACGTCAAGGTTCCCTCGAACAGCTCGTGCACCCATCGTGTTGTGTTGGGAGTTTTAGACCCCGAACTGATCGACTGCCGGGAGGAGTCGGTGGTGTCGGCTGGCGGTAAGCTCGGTATAGGTTGCTTCATGGCTTCTGCTTCTACATTGGCGACTACTTCGTTAAGCACAAGGTTCAGGAATTCGTGAGCATCTTGATGCATCGCCGACCGAAACATTTCGTTCTCACGGCGAAGAACGTCGAGGAAATGCTGTGGTCGTACGATACCTATCCTGGACTGGCTCGCAACGACGGATTCGAAGATATCTTTGAGCGACGTGAAGAGCGATTCCGACATTCCATAGCTGCCTGCGTTGTTTTTCGTTTCTAACAACGGCAGTGACTGCAGGGCGATTTTCTTTTTGTACTCAGATGAATCCTTATCTTCGGGTTTCGGTGGCTGAGCGGGAGGTGCGCCGGGTCGCTGAGCGTTGGCGAGTCTTTGTTTCTCTGCTTGTGCCTCAGCTTCCTGGTTTGCGGCGAAGTTCTGATAGCGAAGGTTCTTCGCCAAAGCAGCCTCCAAGGTTTCTATTGGCGTTCGTGTCGGATAGTTGAGCACGGCTTCGCGAAAGGGTACTGAATAATAGAGACACTGCAAGATTGAGTTACAGTAGCTGCGCAAACGGGGGATTAGTGACATGACTCTGGGACGGGGTTCCTCCCCTCTACTGAATGGTTGGTATCAATTGGCCACTCACCAAGTATTTCCGTACTGGACAGCACAAGCCACTGTTAGCAACTCCGCCAAACCGGGGTATAGATTGCAGGAAGGGCCAACTCACGTTCTCCATGCCGAAAAACTTGTCGCTACCGTCTTGTCGAACCGAATCCGAACCCATTTCCTGCAGCATCTTCTCCAGCGGGGTCATCGGAAGCGCCAGGGGTTCTTTCTTCGCGGGAGTCGCCCCGACCGAAGGAGTGGAAGATCCCTGAAAACGATGCAGTCAGCATTGTGGTAGTTGTGGCGAACGGTAATGGAGACGCGACAGGTTGGCTCTCCAGCGATCTAATGGGCATGCCGCATGTCCTTTCACGATTTTCCCAAGGATCGCCAACTTAACCAGGCAGGTTGGTATGCCCCAAAGATGTAGGAGGCCAGAGCATGCTCAGAGGCAAAAGAAGCGCGGCCAAGTCAGCAGATTGAAGGAACTTACCACATCTCTCCGGAAACTCCTCAGAAAAGACCCCATGTTTATCGCAAAGTCTCAAAGACCTTAGTATACAACTTCATCTGGTAGCTTTCGCGGGACACAGTAGCCGACACCGGAACCGAAGGAGAGTGAATGTGAAGCGTTATATCGGCGCGCAGGCGAGCCAGCCGGTATGCGACGGCAGGAACCAGTAAGCGAAGTCGAGTAGAGATAGGAGGGTTTGTAAGAGCAACGGTCGGCGATATGATGGGGTTTTTGACACAACGGAGTGGCAGCGACAAAGAATTAAAAGAAGAGAGTCTAGATGCTCGGCATAGGGTTTCCTAAATCCGCGGATCCGACGAGCGTTTGAGAAAGGGCTTGAGGGGGGAAAGATGTGGTGGATGAGTGAACCAGGAATGGGGCGGAACGTGAACGGGCGGCGGAAATCGAAGGTGGAGAACGCTGCGGTCGGAGGGAGAAAGGCACAGGCGAATTGAAAGCAACGGGGGTCGAAGGGATGTGTAAGAAGACGAGCAGGCAGAATGCAAGGTCAGACAAGGAGAGGAAGAAGGTGAACAAGAGAAGAAAGAGATAGAATCAGTGAGAGACAGAGGTAGAGGGAGAGAGAGAGAGGAGAGGCGGGAGTAGGGGAACGACGTTGTTGGTAGCCGGATTATTCCCCAAGTCAGGAACCTCGAGCCATACACAGTACACTGTTCGATACACAAGATACTTTGCAGTGGATACTAAATACAGCCTTTCACATCTGCCTGGGTAATATTACATGGGGGTTCTCCCGTAATGACGGGCGGGTGCGCGGGCCCGAGCGGTTGGGGGGGGGGCAAACCCGATTTGACTTTTGGAGATGAACGTTTCGAGGAGGGGAAAGATGGCTTTGACGGGTGCTACTGTCACAGATTGGGGGAGAGGGAGAGACTTTGAACCATCGTTTGGACGGGAGCATATTCCCATAGTCATCCGAGTCTAGATGTTTGGCTTTCTTTCCCCCGCAATTGTGTGGTGACTGCAAGAAGAAACACCCGGCCGTCTTCTCGATCTCACACCAACTCCGGTAAACCTCAGTCATAGGTTTCTTTACCCAAAAAACACTCACCAGTATTTTACAGCGGTTTTCATGATTTTAACTCCTCCCACGCATCTTCCCAAAAGAGACATCCGATGAACCAGCCCCATTCTGTGTTTCCCCCTCACTATGACTAGAATCTTTACTCCCTTTCTCTCATCTTGATCCTAGCGAGTTCAAGTGGCCCCCCTATAGCTGGCTCAGCTCTTTACACTACGTCACAGTTTCCATATGTTAAAGTTCCTCCACAAACATACCCTTCTACACCGCGCGCAATGCAATACTAACACCAGAAGAGGAGGGGGTGACATTTGAGGCCAGATCCACTGGCCCTGAGATATACCCGGTGGTTCTCCCCTCCGCCGTAAACTCCGCCAGTTACTCTTTAAATCCGAAGGACAATTGACCGACAGATTTAAATTTGGCATGCTAAGAATTCGTCTATTCTTGTC